GGAGAGGGCTAATCAGATAAGAAAGCCAAGGCTGCTTTCTGTTGCTTCTTCTATTCCAAAGAGCTGAGCCACAGCCATTCTGATAAACCACATATTCCTCTCCAATTTAATACACAATTAATTTTTTCCACATGCCTCCCATCCCTCCCTCTAGTCAACACATACTTATGTATATGTCTTTTCTACCTCCCATTCTTTTCAGTCTATTGCAATTTATATGAGGCTGATATATTGAGAATTTTATCTCTGGCGATATGTTGATATGTTCTAAATACTGTCCTACAACTAGAATCGCAGAAAAAAAACTCGTCACTCACCAACGTAGGTGCTCCTTCTTCCTACTGCATTCTTTCCCCTAGTGGGCCCCCTTATTTATGACCTCAGGAACATCAAACAGAGGGAGAAGGGAATCCATGTTTAAGATAGAACAAGAGAAAAATTGAAGATTTTATGCTCACCCCAGATTTGAAGCTGAGTAATTTCATTGGAATGATCCATTTTAACCTCCTATGAATATCCCCCTCATGAAACCCAGATGGACCTCTGTAGAATCTTGCATTTCTGAATGGAATGTGGTATGTAAGCCCCTGTTGTAGATGGATCTACTGAGGCAGTAGCTGAGCTTCTCGGGGACATTAAACTCCAGAGTTTGCCATCATAGACTTCCTCTCCTGGCTCTTTTAAATTCCTTTCTCTTCTCTCACTATGGGTCAATCCAGATGGAAGGGAAGAAAATCTTTCCTCTTAATTCTTTACCTTGTTCTGTTCCTTACTTCAGCTTACAAGCAGCATAAGGAGTGGGTTGGCTTCTAAAATAAGCCCCCTCCTTGTATTTAAATGTGTCAGGCATCAGATACCTGGCGTGAAGTTACCTTGTCCATCATCTCTCATGGTGCATTTTATCTCTGCACATGCCTCTTCTCACTTGGATAGACGCTGACGTGCCACTTCGCTGTCAGCAGGAAATACCTGTCAAGTTCGCCACTGCCAGCACATCTAATGTGATCTCAGACTTCGAAAGACCAGAGAGCATGAGCACAGCCTGTTTCTATGAGACCCAAGCCATTAGGTGAAGACCCACTTTTTTTCAAAAAATAAGCAGTAGAAATCCTTGCTTGCTGCCTCTACACAGCTCCAACAGGCAGTTCAGGAGGAAAAAACACAAACACCGCCCTCCCCCAACTAAACTCTCATAATGTATAGTGAAATAAAAGTTCTGAAGAAATACAGGTGACTGTTAACATGGCTATAAATATATCTGAGGGTTCTTCTAGTGACACCATAAAGCAGTTGGACATTGTTTTATTATATGTCAGATTTATTTATAGCCACATAATTCATTCTTCCATTCATTTATTTAAGAAAGCCATCCAGAAAAAAAAAAAGCTAATTTTGAGTATGTTTCCCTTTTGGGAGTATAAAAGAAAAAGCTTTTTCTTTTAAATATCATTCCTAAATGAATTTGACTTAAATGAAAAGGACAGTCGCTCTTTGTATAAATGTGTAGCTCAGAGGATGCTCAGACTGCTCTGGTATTTTTTATCTATTATTATTGAGAATATACCTTTTATTGTTGAGAATTTGATACATGAATAGAATACGTTTTGTCTATGGCCATAGCACTCTGAGCATGCCTGATCTCCTCTGCCTGTTTCTTTAAGGCATCCTCCTTATAAACATCATCATTCCCCTGTCCTCCTTGTGGCTGCAGGAGGAATATCAGGCTTTTAAATGTTGAGCAAAACCTCTTTTACATTTTCCAAATCTTTTGAGTTTGATCAATGGGGTTTGGAAATTTATAGCATTCGAATTTTTATGTATATAACTTCAAGGAAAAGCATGAAAAGCCCATTAGCTAATTCCCCTTGAAATCCAAATGAAATAATAATAATTTATTAAATAGTTATTATGGTTATAATTATTATTTACTTTAACGCAAAGACATGGACTAGTTCTTCCTATGGAGATCTGGCATATATACATGTTGGTCTAAACTGCTGCTAGCTATCACTGATCCAAACTTCTCATCCTCATCACTGTGAAAATCTCTATCCAGTTTTGAGAAATTAAATAAAATGAATTATTGTTAGATAAAAACAGAATACTTTTTTGTGTAGTGCTAGAACCTTGAATATGCTAAACAAGCACTCTACCCCTGAGCAGCAGCCTCCAACCCGAGACAGTCATTCAGTTGCATGTCTATAGGATATATCACCCAATCAAAGGGTTAGAAAGCATCTTGAGATTTCATACAGCTTTGGCAACCTAAGCTCAAATCATAATTATTAGCTGCTGTGTAAGTTTTGAGACAATCTTTGGCCAGTTTCTGCTTTAGCTTTTCTGTTTTAAAATGAGAATCCTCATATAAACTATCTATAGAGTCAAACAGCTAATGCATGTAAAGTATTTATCATCAGTGCCTGACATACAGAAAATGATCAGGGACAATAATAATGATGACAATAATAATTCTATTATTAGCCTTCTTTTCTCCAGGAGACTCTGTAGAAGTTATCCCTGCAGCTAGTACTCCCTTGCTGTTCAATACAGATCTTCTAGGGAGCAACCTCAGCAACCCCAAAACACAGGTGGAAATTCTTTCCAGGTGCTTCCAGTATGCTGACTTGTTCCTGTACACCTCTGGTAGAAAAGAGACTGACTCCATCACATCCTTCTTACATCTGTCTTTCAAGTCAGCTCTAAACTAATAAAGTGTATAGTCTGTCCCAGAGCTGGATAATACCAGCTATCGATGCCCAGTATTGTTTTGTAATTATTTTCTATGGCAGGATGGGCACTTACAGGAACTCAGTTGGCTTGGGATCTGCAAAGACTCTTTTGGTCCTTTTCTTTCATTTTCTCATTGTCTTCTCTCAAATGCATAATAAGTTCTAATTAATTGCCCTTCTCCCTGAAAGGCACACTTTCCTAATGCTTATTAATTTCCATTGACTTCATGAAGTATTTCATTATCATTTAATAGTCTTTTTAAAATGTTGATGAGTCAACCTCTGAACTAGGGTTCTACTCAGTATAGAAAGGAGCCACAGCCCTTGTCTATCACTGTGGGGCATCCATTTCTTTACTCTGTGAATGTTAAATTTATGCCTACTAGGACAAGATGCTGAGTAAAATCCAAAAGACCCAGTGAGGAAGAGTGTTCAGGGCTTAGGAAGCAAGTGCTTCAAAAGGCTAAAACCTAGGGAACTCCCTGAAGAACCATACCATATACCCCACAGCAAGGGAGAGATTAAAGGTGTAAATCAGGTACACACACTAGATAATGGAGTTAATCTACCCTATGGAGGAAAAGAAGACCCTGGAGGGATTCCCAAACAAGATAACATGTGAATGAAAAATCGGGAGACTGATGTCCACATCCCCTGCATTCCTGTTTGACGCTGAGCAACTTTGAACTCTCTGAACTTGCTTCCTCAACAGGAGAATAATTAATAATTAATATCAGAGGACATTTTAGGATCCAAAGAAAACATATATTCAAAGAGGTAATTGTACATGAATGTTCACTATATGAGTTTTACCTAGACTGTGTGGAAATTGGAAAGAAGAATCTAAAATAAAGAAGTTACTAATGTAGGGTATAATCATCTACCTACAGCTTCCCAGAGGCAAACCTCCCTGGATGTTAAATTGTCAATGCCTGAGAAATTCAGAAAGGAGTCAACATTTTCATTCTATGAACAAGAAAAGTATGCCATAGGATAGTGAAAGACAAGAAAGGGGAAGGGAAAGGAGAGAACATGTGGAGAAAGTGCAAAAAACATGTAGGAACCACACAGGAAACAAACACATCCAGTATCATTCTTTATTTCTAATGCTCATGTTCCTGCACTAAGATGTTATGAAAATTCTATAATGAGTCAAAGGAAGAATCCTACTATTACTTACCCACCTTATTTTTGTTTATTTATTCTGTTATTTTTCATTTATTTGTAGAAATATCCTTGTTCAAGCATTCTACTCACTCTCTGTCAAGAGTATTCTGTGCAGAGTACATAAACTAAGAGAGGCAGTGATCTAAAATAAACGATCAACTAAGTTTTTTTTTTTTTAATTTTCTAAAAACAATCTCAGTGGTAGAAGAAAGCCTGCCTCTCACAGATGAGTCCTTAGGTTCAAATCCAAGAATTACCAAAACAAACAAACAAAACACACACACAGAGAGAGAGAGAGAGAGAGAGAGAGAGAGAGAGAGAGAGAGAGAGACAGACAGACAGAGACAGAGAGACAGAGACAGAGACAGAGAGACAGAGAGACAGACAGAAATAGACAGTTAAATGGTATGTTTCTAGTGATTTAAACACATTAAGTCCATATAACGGAGAAATCTTGGAGGTTCCTAGCATGAACAAACTCCTAACGGAGGAACAGTGCTATCTGAACAGTACTTTGGGAATGTTTGCATGATGGGTAATAAGGGCATGGATCAGTGACAATGAGGATTTAGCACATCTCAGAGCTGTTGGGGAAGTTGGTGGCTGGGTACTGAAATGAGAGTTTATATCAAAGATAGAACAGGATATTCTGAAAATAGATGCAACAGCACTGATATACTACTTCAATATCAATGATATCTATGTTTTCAGATCTACCACTTCCATTCTGGACAGGCAGAGTTACCTGGCCTTTTCTATCTTCCCACAGCACTGTTGTGTTAACACTTGTCACATCCTGTTGTTATCAGTTAGTTTATAGCTTAGTACCCTATGTGATTTATAGAAACATTATGTATTAAACACTGGTTGACCTTAGAGACAGATTGTTTAAGTTCTAGGGTCAGGCAATGTAAGCCCATATTCTTTTTCCTTCTTTTTTAAACTGTGACCTTGAATAAATTACTTAGCCTCAGAAAAATCATTATTCTTACAGGTTAATATCAGATAATAATATCCCTGATCTCAAGCTTAAGACAATCTGAAACCTAATGGGAAATAGTCAGTAGATATTTAGAGAGAGAAAGAGAGAGAGAGAGAGAGAGAGAGAGAGAGAGAGAGAGATACTTTAAGATATTCTCTTTTATATACATGTTTGTCAGGAGAAGGGTGGACTCTAAAACATAGAAACATTTTTTCTTTCTTTTTTTTTTATTTTCTCAAGACAGAGTATCTCTGTCTAACAGCCCTGTCTGTCCTGGAACTTGCTCTATAGTCCAGTCCTGGAACTCAGAGATTTGCCTGCCTCTACTTCTAAGTGCTATAATTAGTTTGCTCTATCACTGACCCAAAACATTGAAATTTGGAGCTGTTGCAAAATCAGAATGGGTATCTTGCAAGGCCATGAGCTCTCCATCGCAGAGAATGTCCAAGTTGTAGATACCTGGGAACAACCTGAAGTGAACGGGTAAGGTACATAACTTCCCTTGCAAATTTGAGATTATATGCCTATGAAGTTTTCTTTGAGCTCTCTGCTTACTACTTTTACATCCACTTAAACATTGTACTTTGGATTCATGTTGAAGATTATACTCAATTCCTAGATGCTGCAAAGATTTGAAAGTTCCTTGTTAATTTAAACTACATGCACTAGGGTTAGGAAACTTAGCTGGCTATAAAAGAAACAGTATTATCGTGTGAGAGCCTCATTTTTACTATTGCATACAGAACAAGTTTTCTCAAGACATATTAACAATTTTGTTCCTATTTTAGATAACAAATGTTTTTTTTTTTTTCCCTGCTAGCAACACCTACACATCTGCTGTCCCTGTGATCTAAGAAGGCACTGTTCAGTGGTGAAAAGTTCATTGCTATGGAAAGAATATGATCACTCAGCTCTATTGTCCTTTACCTCTCAGCAGGGAACCTTGGTGAACCAAACATAAATAAAAAAGAATGCTTTTCAAGTAAGGCCTAAGTCTTGAAAATTCTGGGATACAAAGTAGAACTACTTTTTAAAATTATTTTTTATATGTCTCGTGTGTGTGTGTGTGTGTGTGTGTGTGTGTGTGTGTGTGTGTGTGCGCCATAGCATGCATGTGGAGGTCAGAGAATAATTTGCTAGAACTAGTTTCAGGGGTTTACTTCAGGTACTCAGTTTTGGCAATGAGCATCTTTACCCACTGAATCTTCTGGCCGGCCCCATTTTTCTTTTTCTAACAGACACAAGGACACTCTCCTCAGCAGGTGGTTGTAGACCAGCAGTAATGTAGGTATTTAGGGGATATATAAGTTAGAGAACCTGAGATGTAGAGACAGAGTGACTAGTTTAATGCTATATAACTGGTAGTTTGGATGTAACTGGCCCTCATAAGCTCATAGGTAGTGGCACTATTAGGAGGTGTGGCCTTGTTGGAGGAAGTATGTCACTGTGGGGGCGGGTTTTGAGGTCTCCTATGCTCAAAATACTGCCCAGTGTCTCAGTTTACTTCCTGTTGCCTGCAGGTTCAAGATGTAGCTCCTTCTGTCTTAGTGAGAGTTTCTATTGCTATAAAGAGACACCATAACCAAAGCAACTCTTATAAAGGAAAACACTTCATTGAGATGGTAGCTTATATTTTTAGAAGTTCAGTCCATTATTATCATAGCGGGGAGCATGGTGGCATGCAGGCAGACATAGTACTGGAGAAGGAGCTGCTACATGTTGATCCACAGCCAACAGGAAGTAGACTGAAATACTGGGAATGGCTTGAGTATATATGAGACCTGAAAGCTCTCCTCCACAATGACACACTTCCTCCAACAAGACCCTATCTACTCCAACAAAGCAACACCTCCCAATTATGCCATTCCCTCTGAGCTTATGGGGGCCAATTACAAACTACCAGAATAATGTATCTTTGCCAGAATAAGCTGGACAGTCTTAGATATTCTTCTGAAATGAGGCATGTATAACTCCCATGGCAACATAAGTCAATATAAAATAAGTATATAAAAATAATATAGTATTATTACATATAATTACAAATTATTACATATAATATAAAATATTACAGTATTAATAATAATCTGTCCTAGGAGAATAAGAAATCCAAAAAGTTACATTACCTATCATTATAAATTAAATTAGTTAAATAAATATGGTTGAAATGATTAAATGAAGAAATTATAGTACTAGAGAAAATAGGTCATAAATGGCAGACTTCAAAAAGAACCAAACTTTTGAAAATGTAACATAGTTAACAAAGAAAAATGAAGTTGTTGTGCTGTGGGGTGTCATTCTGTAAGCTGTGAATATGTGTTGCTCTCAGTGGTTGATAAATAAAATGCTGATAGGCCAGTAGCCAGGCAGGAAGTATAGGTGGGGTAAGCAGACTAGGAGAATTCTAGGAAGAGGAAGGGATGAGTCAGGAGTAACCAGCAAACACAGAGGAAGCAAGATGTCAAGGCAGAACTGGGAAAAGGTACCAAGCCTCATGACTAAACATAGGTAAGAATTTTAGGTTAATTTAAGTGTAAGATCTAGTCAGTAATAAGCCTAAGCTAATGGCCAAGAAGTTATAATTAATATAAGCTTCTTAGTGATTATTTTATAAGCAGGCCATGGGACTGCAGGGGCCTGGTAGAACCGGAGAAACCTTCCTACTACATTGTCTTGAAAAACCAAAGTAACAAAGTAACCAAAAAAAAAATTAAAAAAAAAAAACAAAAACAAAAAAATCTAATAGTCTTATATATTAGTTACTTGATAGTTATCTATAAATTTCTTATGCTATCTTATAGAATACTGATAAAACTAAGCATTCATATAGATCATTTTAATTTGTATATTAAAATGAAATAGTGTCCAGAAGATTGGCAGCAGATATTGCTATTTATTGCATGATGCTTGAGCAATTTTCACTGTAGAGATTATAAAAAGTCTGTCTTCATGATCTGAAAATAAGAAATGCAACATTGGGATTTCATTAAATTAGTGGCTGAGCCACAACACATTCCATACTCCGATAATGTGCATCTGTTCTTATAATTGTTGGAGTCCTAGGAGTTATAAATAAGCAGGTCTGTTTTGAGTTTCCTGTTATAAGCAAAGCCAAATTTGCGTTTATCCCAGACATTTCTTTCTTCCCTTTTATAGGTCAGAGTGAGCCCTCAGATCATTCATGCCCATCCTGTTACTATTTGATGAATTCAGAAGATATTCATTTTCCCACATTTCTCAAACCCATGATCCTGACAAAATCAATTATAATTTAAAAATGCATTGCCCAACCTGGGAACAGAATGCAAGGAAAATATATCTAAGGCTCTCTGAGTTTTTGAACCCCTGAAAGTGAACATGTTTGGAACAATATTCTGGAAAAGGACTTTGATACAATCAACACCATTTGTAACAGTGATGAGTGTGATGCTTTGCCTTAAGCTACAAGAGCAAAAGAAACAAGGAGACAAGCATGTGTACAGACAGCTTAGAACCATAAAAATTCAGAAGGAAAGGTCTGCAAGAAGAAAATGTTTTGTCTGTTTTGTGTATGTAGGGGCTGCAGGTATACAGGTTTGTATGTGCATGTATGTAGAGCTTAGAGGTCGACATCCCCTGTTTTCCTTGTTCTCCATTTAGTTATTGAAACATGATTGCTCACTGAACCTGGAGCTGGCAGGTTAGGCTGGACTGTCTGGCCACCAGGAAACGCCAAGGATCCTCCTGTGTCCCCCTCCTCAATACCTGGATTGCAGGTATGCACTGCCACATCTGGCTTTTTATGTGGGTATTAGAGATCAAAGTTGTAGCTGGAGTTATCTCCAGTCCTGCCCAGGCTGACAGCCACTTAGACTCCACAGGGCCGCAGGAGCTGAACAGAACCAGAAAAACTTCAGCTACACAAAGTCAGGACTTCCTATTGTACAACAACCACTCTACCTACTCAGCCATTCTTATAGCCCTCAATTTTCTGTATGTCTAAATCATATACTGACTTAATAAAGAATGGAGTCTATTGTGTAGGATTTTGAGTGGTTTCATATAGTATGCCGGGAAGACACAGTCTCATCCTACCTTAGAAATGAAAATATCTGGATTCTAATCCTTAGGTTGGCAGACATTGGTAAACTCACTTAAACACAACTCATCTAGAACCCCAAGTGTGTTTTGTTTTATTTTTGTAAGTTTCTAATAGAAACTGAACCTAAAGAGTTGCCCAGCTTTGGGCTAACAATGCTGGCTGTGATACTTCTACCTTCTGTGTATTCACACTCCATCCACCTCTCTTGTCTATCTTGATCAATCCCCTTCCTGTTAATTTCAAGCAAATTAATACAGATTAAAAACTACTCCCTGAAAACCCTCTAAATCCAAAAGACAATTCACAAGGAGAAGTAGAAGACGATGGGAGGGCAGAGTGGGTCTTCTCAACTACTGAATTTACTACGAGAGTGAAACTTTACAAAGGGACTCACTGTGCCTGATCAACTTACTTTTCCTAAAATGACACCTTACTGCTGAGCCAAGGATGAACAGAGAAAGACGTCAGCCCATCCCAAGTGCAAAGGAACAGCCTGTTTTAGATGACACTTTATATTTGTATTCTTGCTGGGTCTATAACAGGACTAATAAGGACAGAGGCCCAGCTCACTCATTGACAAGCAAACAGCCACAGAGTCATGGTGAAACCTTAAGGAAAAGAACACGACACTTTTTTTCTTTTTCTGGAATGAGTCTCTTCTTGAGTTCCTGCTGGAAGCTGGGGGTGGGGGTGTAGCATGGTTGTTGCTTTAGGAGTTACTCAGCAGGTGGTGGTTACTAAATGCAGCACTGGGGAGCAATAATAAATAAATAAATACAAACTACGAGAAACTCCTGGCCTTTTCTTCTCAGCCCCCGCTCTCCCAGAAGAGTTAAAGAAAAATTAGGAAGAACAGAAATAGCTGTGCCCCCACCCCACTTACCAAATGTCGAAGAAACTTTTAATTGCTTAGTTTAATATCATGCAAATATGAAAATGGGCAAGGTGAAAGAAAAAGCTATAAAATTTAAAGTAATTCATATGGTATTAAGTTTCTTCTTTAACTCACTCCATCTCCTGGACATATATTTGACCAGCACCTACCCATAATAGCTAATTCCAAGATAACTGCATTAGGAATACAGCGTGAAGTTAAAGGGAGGTCATAGGGTGGTACCCTAATCCAAAAGGCCTGATAACTTATAAGAAGAGGAAGAGACACCAAGGGCATACATGAACAGGAAAATAAAGGTGATGATGCTAAGACACAGAGCACACAGATGGTCATTTGTAAGCAGTGGAGATAGGAGGCCTCGGGGAAAACAGAATCTGACACCTTGATCTTGGGCACCGAAGCACCAAACCTCTAAGATTATTTCTGTACTGTGGCCACCTCTGCTTGCATTCTGTACTAACAGCCCCACAAAGCTAATGTGAAGCTGTTGATGAGAACAATGGCATTTGTGGAAATGGAGACATTCAGATCCAGGAAAGAACCTGGCATTCATCTGTCCCTTGGGTTCTTGGGTCAGAGCTTAAGGAACTGCTACAAAGGAAGCCCTTTTTGCTCCCTCCCCAGGGGTGTCATTTTAATTGAAGTCCATGTGAACCGTGTCTCTTAGAATCCTTTAGTGTATAATTTCCATGGTCAGATCTCACTGCTTGAAAATGGTCTGTGAAACTCCTGTCTAAACTGCCTTCAATTTCATCTGGGAATGTAATTGTTCTGGGGGAAAAAATTGCAGAAATGCCTTTAGATTGTAAGAGTCATGTGACCTAAAAACATGTGAGAATCATTGATGATTTCAAAGCACTCATTTTACAGATGAATAAACTCAACCTTATAAAGAGATATTTCCTCTGAATGTGTTAAAAATGCTAACAAAAATAAGATCCAAGTCTCTTGCCTTCTCATAAAAGGCATCAAACAGTGTTTTCACAGGAGCTAAACATTTTACCTGAGATCCC